CCTTGATTACAGAGCTACCTTAAATTTTCTGAAATTTAAGGTCACTCGGAACCCTATGTACAGAATTTTTTAACTTTGCGAAAAGTTGTGTTTTATCCAGCTGATTAAAAATTGGTCCCGTCCCGTTTTTGTTTTCTACACTATATAACAATAATTTTACAAAAAAGGTGATGGACGATTTGCCGAAGTCATGAAATGTTTCTACAATGACTCAAAGACTCCCACTCAACCTCAGGTTATCAGTTATGCTTATAAAGATTTCTTAAATCACTGGAACATGTGGTGAAAGCTAGAGAACAATCGAAGGAATAGAAAATTATTCAGTTCCGATTGGCAAATCAAAGGTTTACCTCTTATGTCATTAGAGAGCAAGATTTGTAACACATATCTCACTAAATTTACAAAAAAGGTGATGGACGATTTTCGAAGTCATCCGCGACGTTTCTAAAATGGCACAAAGAATTCCACTCGAGACTTCAGCTCATCGATATTACTTTTTAAAATAACTGCAGCAATTCTCGCGCACTCATTGGCTAATTTTCACTGTCAATAAATCGGACATACTCATGAATTTATAATTTATGCGATGCGTCAACGAGCGAGAGCGGACAATTTGACAATTTGTTATTGTAGAAAACAAATTGACGTCAGTTTTTTATGCGTCTGTCCTGTTATTGACAATAAATTTCGTCATAACATTGTCAAAGTAGTCTGCGGATGCACTCGGCTATCGCCCAGTGGATCCACAGCTACTTTGACAATGTTACGACGGAATTCACGATCAATAACAGGACAGACGCATGAAAAACGGACGTCAATTTGTCAATTGAGCCTGTTTAGATCCATAGAATATTGTGGTAGACGCTAGATAGCTTTCGAAAAAAGCATTTTCATTCAAAGAAAAGATAAAATTATAACTCAACCCCAAAGTGGAAAATTTTACAGAAGAAAGTATATAAGTTGAGCGACATTTTGAGCAAAAATGTTTGTGGCCGACCTGAGCTCCTACGCAGTCAAGCGAGTGTCATGATGGCAAGCACAAAACCA